TCTTCCTTTATTTTTTGTTTGTTTTATCAACAATATTGTTCCCTTGCTATAGTGATCTCGGGTAGTGCAGCTGGTAACGACTAAGAGGAAGAATGACACGACGACTGGTGGTTCCAGATGGTGGTTCTTTTTCTTTCTTTATTTCCATATGGCTTCCTCTGTCTGTCTCTATTTTTGCTTCCTTTTTTGTTTCTCATGATGCAGGGGTTGTTATCAATGATAGGGAGGATGGTGGTAGTTGGTGGTGACTCTAGGGTGGCAATTGGCGGTGGCTCTAGGGTGGCACTAACGGTGGCTATGTAGACAGCAGTCAGCAGTTCCTTCTCCTTTCTTTCTTTCTTTGTTTTTACTTCTAAGACTTGGTGATGGCGTTGGTGATGGTGCTGTTATTCTTCTTGTCTGTAAGGATGTACAGGCTTCTTTTTCTTCTTCTTCACGGGTGTTGCAGCAAGGAGAGAAAGGTGGTGAGAAGCTGATGGTGGCGCTGCTCTAAATGGTAGAAAGAGAGAAAGACCAAAGAGATTGAGGTTATTGTTCTTCTCTTCTCCTCTGTTCTCTATTTTTTATTATGTTTTCCCTTCTCTTGTGTAGCTTTTTTTGTTTTTTGTTTTTTCTAAAATTTATCGTTGTTTTCCCCAAAATTCCTCCCTCTGTTTTTGTTTGGTTTCTTCTCTATTCCTTTTCCTTGTTCTCTCACCCTTCAAATCTTCAGTTCTCCCATCTTTTTTTTAAAAAATAACCCCTAGTTTTCGTTTTCTTTTCTTTTTTCTTCCTCTTCCCTCCTTCAATCTTCTCCCTTTTTTGTATTTATAACTAAGTAGATAGAGAATCCCCCCTACCTTGCTCCATCAAGGTGCAGGAAGGAAATGGGGCTACCTTACCCTTATAGGATAAAGTGGTTGATTGTCTGCAAGGCATGATCGGGGCATGAGTTGTATTAATGGTGGCAGGGTAAAAGGGATGGCTTGTGTCCTAGTTTTGTATGCAAGTGGGAGGGGAAATAGAGGGGAAGAATATCAGGAAAAATATTTTTAAAAACTTCTTCTCTCTTGTCTCTGCCTTCGCAAGGGAGAAGACCATGCACACTGTAGGTATATGAGAGTGAAAAAATGATGAGTTAAGTAAATAGGGCAAGTAGGTAGTAGGGATATGATGTGGAGAGGTGTTGTAGGGTTATGCCATCTTTTTAGATTTTTCAAAAGAAAAAAACTTCTTCATCAAAATAGACATGATGCGACATATAAATATATTAAGGTGTAGGGTCAAAACAATAATAACCAAGATAAGATATGCTATAACCTAAGAACACATATTGAAAGGAATGAAAATACAACTTATATGCATGATATAGATGTAGAAATAAAAAGTAAAAACACTAAAAAATATATAGAAAATCATAATTAAAAGTACAATAAAAAAGACACTCAAATAGGGATTTATTTCATATGACATGAGTAGGCATATAGTTGATAAGATACACTAAGGATTTAAATACATAATTCTAAAATTGTAATTGAGCTTTACATTATTTGATGCAAGTAAGAACAATTTCAATAATATGATGATATGATGTTTAACGATGCTATTTTACATATGAGTATGAATACTAATAGTTTGAAGGAAAGTGTTTAACTTGCAGCATTCATCACCTATATATTTGAATAGAAAATACATTAAAGATTTCACAACAAGAGAATAGTACCATATATATATATATATGTATATGTATCAATAAAAATAAAAAAGTAACAAAACCATTAGAGGAAAAAATAGAAGGGGAGCCTTAGACATCACTAAAGATTGAATCAAATGGAGTAAAAGTTTTGCAAATCATAGTTCCTAACGACAGACACGATGACTTTCCTAGCGAACATGTTTGACATTGAAAAAGTGAACGTCTAGAGGTACAATCAAGTTTATTATTTGATATTAAAAAAATTAAAAACACGGGAAATAGAATGACCCAATTGATGATGCTAGATATCAGTAAAAGCAGAGACACAGGAGGACTAATAAGCCTTAGGAATTAAAATGGTAAAAGACTTAGATAGAGTATAGAAACCATCATTGCTATGACAAAAAAATAGCATTGTTTTAGTGGTGAGATCCTTAATATAGAACACAAACATATGAATTAAAAATAAATATTATTATCATAATAAAATTTCTGAATAGAAAGTAATGGTTTTGTAATATAAGGAATATAAAAAATATTAGATAAGTTAAAAAAGTATTATGGGGGTATGTAATATAGTATGTCCAATATTAGATATGGAAAGGCCCTTACCATCACCAATATACAAGTGATCATTACTAAGTTAGAGTTCAAATCCGGTCAGAGTCGTAAGAGCAGGTGTAATATGTTGATTCGTATCAGTGTCCGAAAACCAATCCGTAGAGTTAGGATAGAAGACATTATTGACATGTATTGGCATTCATGTGTTGTCCATTGTTATGAAGTTGAGAACATTGAGAGGATGTATGGTCGAAGGATAAACAAAATTAGCACTTGATATTATTTGGAAAAGAACGGTTATTGGACCATTATAGAGAGTCATTATTTCTTTTATTTTGTTGCTAATTTTTTTGCCTTTAGTTAATGTTATAGGACCATTAAAAACCATGAAAATGAGACTTGTTTTAGGTGCTATTTTGGTTACTATTAGAACGCTAACTTCCATAAAATTATCCTCTGCTATGATTGAAATTAGAATTGTTGTTATACAAACCTAAGGACTAATAGTTTGCAACATTAGTTAATGGTGGCTGAGATGACATGGGCAGTGAAGGAGAAGTGATAACCATGGATTGAATGGAAATCTTGTGAAGGAACTAATGGGTAAAGAGATGACTATGAAGATCTATTTAGAAAAGAGATTTTGCCTTGGTCACAAAGCTTGTTATCAAGCCTTTAAACTTACTACAAAAACTATGGAACACATATAAATTGAAATCCTCTAAAAAAATTTGCTGGCTAACAGCTGCTAATTCATCAAATAATATTTTTGCCTTCTGCATATATATAGTGATCGAATCATCACCCTAACGAAGATCTTGAAAAGATCCATGAAATTACATAAAACGAGAACTAGACAAAGAAACAAGGGTTTGCTCAAAAGCATACCAAACACAGTGTGTGGTTTGGCAAACGACCACAAGATGCAATACATCTATTAAAAGAGAAGAAAGTAGTGCTTTATGAATAAGTTGATCATGTTGTTTGTAACGAAGAAAAAAAAAAGATTAGTCTAGAAGAACCATCAACAAAAACCACATGAGAAGGAGGACAAGACAAGGAGCCATCAACAAAGTGAAAAATACCTTGTCTAATAAGATACGACTTCATCTGTATTTGTCAATAAAGATAATTAGTGTTTGTAAAATCCAAAGAAATAACTTGTTGAGTATTAGATAAGGAAAAAATCATTGTAATTGAAGCATTTATAGGGGAAGATTCACGACAATAACAATAGCAAGGGAAGATTCCAAAGTTTGCATCGATTGAGAAGAAACGAGAGCCTATGATGTAAGAGATGGAATGCTAGTCCCTTGTGGGGAAGAAAAAAAATTCAGGGTAAGGGTAAAGTTCATTAAGAAGAGGGAAAAGAAGTTTTAATATGTTAAGACTCTAATATTAAGTTTAGAAGAAAATGAAGCTTTGACCAATTAGTTAGTCAAACTTTTTTATTTATATATGTAAGGCAATATATAATAGTTAATAGAAATATTACCACACAAGATAAATCCTATCAATATTTTCTAATTATACACATTATGTATTTTGTAATTTCCTATAATAGCTTACCTATCAACTTGCAAGGGCAAAATGGGTTAATGATAAAAATAATTTAAAATAAAACTTCATCCAAGTTAGGCTTCATATTACTAGATTGATATATCAAATCGAGTTTAATAAGCTAGTATGTTATTGATCCGGTATAAATTGCTAATCATTAATAGTAACATATTTACCTGGGCATGATTCGTTAAGTTCAAGCCAAAGCATAATTTTTGTTGCATCTATTAATTTTCACTTCTTTGTTGACTATTGTCTGTATCAATTGTCTTGATTAATGACCATCCTCTTAGCACAAGCTAAATTTTCAGGCGCGCGTATACTTATCATTCATAGCTAGGCCACTCTAGAGCAGCCTTATGATTAATTTCTTATTGGCTTTTTTCATGACTAGCTAGTAGAAAGCCAGCTAGTTATGGTTTTATAGTGGGGTTACTTTCACTTTCGAATCCAGGTGTATAAAAGGAGGCCGATATGGACCACCGTTGCCGCGCACAACGTGCACAGAAACAAATCGTGAAAAAAATTGAGCTAACGCAGAACCTTCAGTGTGAGCAGAAGGGGACTTATCCTCTTGCATAAAGCTAAAACTAATAAAAATCTCCCCCAGCTCAACAATTGATTAGTCCGGCTCCAAATTAGGTAAACCGCATCTTAAATACCTAGAAGATTAATTTGATAATTCGATAGAATTATATATATAATGAACTTCTTGTTAAAAAATCGTTAATTTAAGATTAGATTTGAGATATTTATGGCCTACCGGCTCTCTTTTTTCCAAAGCATTGTACTGTACATATACATACATACATACATATCAATTAGGTGGTCGTAGATGTACTGTATGAACCAAAATTTTGGAGGGGAGAGGGCTTAATTTATGATAGGTTTATTATGTTTGGCCAATCAATTAATTAACAACTGAGGGTTGGCCAACTATACATATTCTTGGGAGTGCACGGTGGCGTGAGCCTGAGGTGATCTTAAAGTGGATAGAGCTTGATTAAGTTAAGAATGGCAAAAGGCTAAGGACAAAAAGACACGTCCTATTATTACCCGCCTTGTGTCCAATATTAATTATTGTTGTTGAAGCTCGATGTTGATGTTGATTAGAGAGAACATTCCGCAATATTTCCCACCTTTCCATATAAACGATGATCAATTTGAATTTTCAAGACAAATCATTTTAGTTAGTGGTAGAGCAAAGCACCTATTTATAATTTCTTACATTACTCTAGTTTACTACCTGCTAGGTTTCGTCTTGTATATGAGCTCTCGTTTCTGTTATAAATAAATAAAGATTGCTCCTATATTCACCCTCTTATGCCAGTTGCAAAATATTCTTTTCTACATATGTTGCAAGTTTGAATAATGGGATGTGGAGAACTTAAAATACGAAGCTATGATGTTCAAGTTCATAGAGCTGGAGTGGAAGATCTTGAGAGAAGATGTGAGGTAGGCCCGACTGAAAGAGTACTCTTCATAGATACCATGGGTGACCCCATCTGTAGAATCAGAAACAGTCCGATGTACAAGATGCTGGTACGTGCAAACTATATACTGATCATCATCACTATTAATTATTTTTCCCTTCCTTTGTTTTCATTACATCCATTATCACACAAACCCTATATATGTGTTGTTACATCCATTACCGCTTCTAATGATGTCTTCTTGACGAAAAAAATGCAACCTTGTTTCTTTTACGTTAGGTAGCCGAACTGGGCAGCGAATTGGTTGGTGTCATTCGGGGCTCTATAAAGCTAGCAACCGTTCATAAACCTCCAAAGAATATAGCCAAGTTGGGTTATGTGCTAGGCTTAAGAATTGCACCACTTCATCGACGAAAAGGGATTGGATCGAGGCTAGTGCTTGAATTGGAGAAATGGTTCATAGAAAATGATGTTGACTACGCGTACATGGCTACGGAGAAAGATAATGAAGCGTCAGTTAATCTCTTCATAAACAAGCTTGGATATGCCAAATTCAGGACACCGGCGATTCTTGTTAATCCAGTTGATCATCGCGCCTTACGTTTGTCATCAAAAACTGAGGTGGCAAAGCTCAAAGTTGAGGAAGCTGAGTTTCTATATCGCAAGTTCATGACTTCAACAGAGTTTTTCCCTGATGATATAGGGAATATACTGAGAAACAAGCTAAGCTTGGGGACTTGGGTGGCTTATCCCAGAGGTGAGTCATGGGATGATTTTGGTTCAGATGGGAAAGTACTTCCAAGAAGTTGGGCTATGCTTAGTGTATGGAACAGTGGGGAGCTCTTCAAGCTAAGACTAGGGAAAGCGCCCTTCTCTTGCTTTCTATACACAAAGAGTTCAATATTGATTGATAAAATCTTTCCATGTTTTAAGTTGCCTGCAATTCCAGATTTTTTTAGTCCATTTGGATTCTACTTCTTGTATGGAGTGCACCATGAAGGATCGTTATCAGGAAAGCTGGTTCAACACTTGTGCCAATTTGTGCACAACATGGCGACAAAGTCCAAAGATTGTAAGGTTATTGTAACAGAAGTTGACGGTAAGGACATCCTAAGGCTTCACATCCCCTACTGGAAATCACTCTCCTGTCCAGAAGATTTGTGGTGCATAAAGACCTTGAAAAATGAAGAGAACACAATACATCAATTGCTAAAAGCGCCACCGACAACAACATCCCTTTTTGTAGACCCAAGAGAGGTTTGAACAATTTGAAAATACCCCCTGGCCTTATTATTCTTGCTTGAGGCCAAACCTCACCTTATGTATTGTTAGATAAGTCCATCCCTCTCTCCCTTTGTGGGGACTCGCTTTTCTGTTGTACCTTTCACATCAGTGACTCAAAATCTCAAAAGATTTCCTCAATTAGGTGCCACCCTCGCTCTCTGTCCTTGTTTTCAACTGATCAATTGTCGCTACCCTCATGATCTTGACTAATCAAGAAGCCAGTTGTCCTTGATTTGTCCCTGGCTCTCGAGGAAAAAAAATTCGATTGGATCATCCAACCTTCATTAATTTGTCGGCACCCATATATAGCTAAGGTATTCCCTCACATGCCATTGCAAGAAATTCAGATTTCTTTTGAGGTGAAAGGCGGACATAGCTATTGAATGCAAAGAAAAGCCTAACGAGGTCTCCAAATTAAGTTATTTAATAAGGTCATCTGATATTGTTTCTGCCAAACCTTTTATGACTTCGACGAATTTCAGCTCATGCATAATTAAGGCACAGCATAAAGTTGGGAAGATGTCAGCTTCAATGACCAAATGCGGATCCTACATCTTCCGAAACCCTAGTTCTGATGATAAAACAAAGTTGGTTAGGGTTTCAAGTCAATAGTCACAGTCGACACCATGTTTGGCTAGGTAAAGCAGCCGCGACTTGGGCATCTATTAATTCTCTCCAGCCATAGAAGGAAGTTGCTCCATTTATAGTCACCATTGATTTTGTTTTTCAAAGGTATTTCTTGTCATCTAAATTCGTACGTGTACCGAGGCTAGCATAATCACGATTATTGGGATGATGATTGTTATGACCATAAAGATATACTGATTTCATTAGTTAGAAAGTAAGCAATCGCATGCAATCATAATGGAGCAATATACTTTGATTATTGAAAGAGGCTTTTGTCTTTTGATTGACACATTTTGAGTGAGTGGAGCACGAGAGCACGAACAAGTGGTTTAAATGACTTGAGAGGTTTCTAATCATGATAATGCCGATATATACTTGCATGTGTGTTGCATTACATTACATATATATAGAGCTAAAGTTGATATATGGGTCATCGCTGCAATAAGCACGAGCACTAACCCCTTTATCCACTTGTAATCCTAGCTAGCTAGCTAGCTTGCTTGTAGTTTTCCCCCCATCTTATTTAACTCGAACTTTGAAGCTTATTAATTATTTTCTTACTGTTGTAAGAGTAGTAGCATGCTAGATAACAACGTTGATAAATTCTTAATCTTTTATTGAATTTGCTTGGAATTTTAATTACAGCTTGGGTTTTGTTCACCCAAAGATTTGCGACGAGTTGCCTTTAGGGAATTAAAGATTTTAAGGACGATGTAGAATTAGGGTTTTGATGTGCGTGGAACAAGTGGGTTTGCTTATAGATATGTCCCAGGTAAGAGTTAAGCAAAGAGGGACCGTAGCAAATTAGCAATAAGACATAAGAATGCTTAATAAAAAGAAAAGAGGAAGAATTTATCAACGTTGTTAGCTAGCATGTTAGTACTCTTACAACAGTAAGAAGATGATTAATAAGCAAAATATTAATTACGTCCCTTGAGGGTTACTAATTCTGATGCGGAATTAGGGTTTTGATGTGCGTCGTGGGAAAATTGGGTATGCTTACATATATGTCCAAGGTGGGGTATTGGAATTCAAATTATTTTCTTAGCTGTTATTATAATCCGAGGGACCGTATAGCAAATTTGCAAAAAGAGACAAGAGTGCTTTAATAAAAAGAAAAGAGGAATAAAAAAAATACATGCGGCTACAATATATATTAAAAGTAAGATAAATATTCAAAATCCTTAAATTTACTCGCAACCAAAACTCCTCGGTAGCCCTATATTAAGTTGGAAATAGAAAAAAAAAAACCATAATTAAAAACTCGTGATTAATATTCTAGTTTTTAGTTAAAATAAGATTTCTAAAGCGTATTACTGTCTTCCTAAATAGTCTACATTTATTGAAATATCAAAATGTACATATATAACTGATGATCTTTCTCTCATTTGCTTCATCGCATCTTATTTGTATTACTGTGTTATTCAATTAAGTTTTTTTTGTTTTAACTGAGTGATTTCTCTCATTTTCCAGCTTGTTTCCTGTGTATGAGTGTGTTTTTGTTAATTTAGTAAATTCAGGGAGAACATTAATTTGCTAAGGAGATAATATAATTGTATATACTTATATAAAAAAGATATTATCCCAATTAGGATCTTAAGCAAGCCTTCTACATCCATATCATTGCATTTATAAGAGAAGTTTTCTTACGTGATATTCAAAAAAATTAAATAGCTTAAAAATAAAATTTATATGTTAAATAATTAATTAGTTTTCGATAATCTGATTCATTCTTTACGATCAATATGATTGGTAACTTATATCTGATATTTAATAGGTTAAAATGCTTGGTAACTAGTATATATATAAGTTTTTTTTTTATGAATTTAAAAACTGTAAGTATATTTTAAAAAAAATATATATAATTATATTTTACAGAGATAAACTCTGAAAATATATAGCTAAAAATATAAAAAATGATGATATTGTAAACTTGAAACTTTGAGATCTTATGAGATATTTATAGCATATAAATTTTATCTTTTTGTAAGGATAAAGGGTTAAAAAATTATTTTATTCATGTGATATTTTGAGTTGTATTTCACTTAAAATAATATATATTAAATCATTATAAAATATTTAGGGGCTCATGTTAAAATTACAAAAAAATTACTAAAAATGTATTGGATTTAGATAAATTATCTAGATTTATTTGAGATGAAAGTAAACCGAGATGCACTTCTTATCATCATGCTATGGTTGTTGAGTTCAAGCCACTTCTAAATTTGAGTTGATCACAATATCTCACTTAGGATTGGAATTTTGAATAATAACGTATTAGAAAATAAACTCACTCACCACGATTCCAAAGATATATTAACATCACTCCCTGCACTTGCATAGCCTTATCATGCACGCCAAAAAAAGAAATTAAAAATAAAGAGAAAAAAACAAACGGAAAGTGTTATTATGACTCTGAACATCACACCACTCGACTATATAAGTTAATTCAATGGAGGCTACTTGCAAACAGCTTTTTGCATCCTTGTATGAAAGAGAAAGAGAGTACAAAATTCACCATAGAATCAAGAGCACACATGTATATCCATACACTCGCATAATTCCGATTGTCTGATTTCAATAATTTCCCACCCCAAGAAAACTTGCAGGCTCCACAGTACTAAGAGTAGACCAAAAAATGATGCTGGCCACTTAGAGAGAAGGATGTTCAGGTATTTCATGCTGGCAAACATTCGTTTCTAAGTGATGCCTTGACAAATCTCCCTAGGAAATTTAGAAGTTCGTGATCATCAAGGTTTGTTTGATCAATCATTGGACTTTTCTCTTAGTATTCGAGCACTTAAGAACCTATGATGGAGATCACGATTCTTGGAACATTCATGATATGATATATAACTAGCATACACACACCCACACATCCCAGTTTCAATTCCTTTGAGGATGTGAGAATCAAGGGCATGGCAAGGTCAATTTACATGGTTGTTTTTTAGCTTCCTATATTTATTCCAGTCTTTCATCTAACGATTTCCGAAAGATTAGAGGAAGTTCTTTGGGCAGAATACATCGTGCACGACAATTGACAAGCTCCCACCATTTTTGTTGCTTTGATATCACTAAAAATTATTCTGACTAACGAAATCTGGACGAAGGCCGGTGTAAGCGACCTAAAGTAATCATTTAGGCCCAAAGACTACCAGTTTTGATTCAAGCACCCAGGCCTGCTAATCATCCTAATCTGCTTTCCATTAAATCTATATTGGGCCTTGTAAATCTGGAGTGATGGTGAGTCTTTATTTGCTTTGATCTTGGGCCTGGGAGACTATCTGAAATCCATCTTGGCCGAAGCACAAAGTGGACGTTGTCTCCAAGTTTACAACAAGCAGTTTCACAAAACAAGGAACATAAAATTAAAAACATTTAAAAAAAAAAAAACCTTATCTATTTCGTAGACATACAAAATTTTTATAGATTATGAAGCTTGGACCCAGCGGGGCATTTTTGTTTTCATATAAATCTCCTTTCTTTCATAAAAATCATCGTATAGATTCATGGATTTGGCTCCTAGCTTGTATGGTCACACTGTAGAGTTTGAAATGAATGTGTAGTCATGGGCCAAGGATCTGATTCTTTAGATAGAAAGCGTGGACTTTCAACAAATTCCATTGGGCTTTACAATAAACAGCTCTTGCTCTGTTTAATGCTTGCAGGCCTGCTATGGGGCCCATTAATGAGGTGCCTAGGTGTAAATTTGTTCTATACCGTATTTTAAAAGGAACCTCCGAGACAGAAAGGCGACGATGAAAGGAATTAGATTATGTGAAACCGTAATTTAACACCTAAGACAATCCTTTCTCAAATCAGTCATAACTTTATAAAAAACCAATTATCCTAACTTTCTCATGTATAGTGTATTGGTGGTTGTCACACTACACATCTCATGATTACCGACTTTATAACATCATCGCTGTCTTATAGGCGAAGTGGCGTCTCGTCGTATATAGTGTAATTGCTAATCTTCTTTTCTTTTCTTTTTTCTTTTTTTTTCTTTGTACCTTTTTGTTTTTTAAAGAATACCCCTAGTTTATTTCCTTGTTATCACTTGAAATATATATTTTTAATATTGTTATTGAACTTATTATAATAGTTTAAATTTAAAAACTTTCAATTTAACATTTTATATAACCTAAGTTTTAAATAAAATTATATAAGAGTTATCCTTATTAAAAAATAATATAAATCATATATTAAAATATTATTTAACAGTTTAAGTTTTTAAATTACAATGATTCTTTTATATAGTATCAAAGATTTAATAACTAAATAGTTACGAGTTTAAATCTCGCCATTATATTAATTTATATTTTTATTTATTTAATACAAATAAAATATAAAATAATATAAATCTGTGTAAGTTTTAAGAGTTTTTACTTGAAGAAATATATTATAAAATAATATAAATAATATTTTAGAATTTTATAAATAATTTTTTAACCATCCCAATGTGTCCTTGTTAATCAAAAAAATTCAAATATAAAAAATCAAATGAAAAAAAAATAGATAGAGATCAAGCTAACATTAACTACTTTATTAAACTTATAAAACTTTATTAGATTAAATTAATTTTTTATGTTATTATATAATAAAAAATATAAAAAAATATTTATATTCAATATAAAAAAATAAAATTAAATAAGAATTTCAAATTAAATAATCAAATTGAGGGGAAAAAAATCCAAATATCCCATTACAAGAAAGCCTAGAGTCGTGGAAGCCTACACCTTTCTCTGAACACGAACCTTTCTATTTCTCTTGTAGTATAATATGCTGCCAAATTAAATGTTAATATAACCTAACTTTCGTTTGCTAGTGGTTCATTAAACATTTCATATCATGACCAACCTTTTCTTTTTTAACACTTTTCTTTTTTTTGGAATACTTTACACGGACAAAATTGTTCTTCTTCCCCCCCTCTCTCTATTTTAAATATTTTTACCGAGATCCTTACATGGTCTCGACACGATTATTTAAGTAAGCTAGGTTTTTTTCTCGTATTTTTATCAGGACATGATCAAAAACCTTTATTCTAAAATCTACCCACAGTTCATATTTTAAGTTCCTTGATAATCTGGAAAAAACACCACTCAAATATTTTCAAGGAAATTGCACAAAGCTAATTCTACAAAACGACAGCAAGATCAAAGATTGGAAACACACGCATCGCACCACCACAAAAAGCTTCTATACCAGCATCACCGTTCATTCAGAAGTGGACCCCATCAATCCCCACTCTTCAGCAAGAAACCTGTCCCTCAGGCAACCATTCCTTTCTCAATTGTGACACTCCAGTCACACACGGCAACGCCTAGTCTTATAAACTTCCAAATCCAAGTCCACAAAGACCCAACACCTCGCCACCCATCCCTCAACATTTCTCCTGCAGACTTCAGCTCAATCAAAACACCATTGTTTTCCATGGCAGCAGCTTGCTTGATCGACGCAACCCGCTCCACAACATGCAGAGACACGCAAGCTGCAACCCACCTAAAACTAATCTCCATCTTAATAATCTTCTTTACAAGCATAATTGGCATCTCTTCTCCCGTTCTCTTAGCTCGCTATTTCCACGGAAAAGCCCTCTATGACAAGGCAACTCTGATAATCAAGTGCTTCGCGGCAGGTGTGATCCTCTCAACTTCATTAGTTCACGTACTCCCCGACGCTTACGATGCACTATCTGATTGCCACGTAGCATCAAAACATCCATGGAAAGATTTTCCTTTCGCTGGTTTTGTTACTTTGATTGGGGTCTTATTGGCTCTGTTAGTTGATTTAGCTGCAAGTGCACGCTTGGACCAACATGGGCACGGGCACGGGCACGGGCACGTGCACGGGCAAGGGCAAGGGCAAGGGCATGGAAACGGGCAGTACACGGTTGTTGGGATACAGGAGGAAATGGTGGGAAAGAAAGAGAGTGACAAGTCGGTTAAGGTGGAGATCATGGGAGAAGTGGATTTGGTGAAGGTAAAGCAGAGGCTGGTGTCTCAGGTATTGGAGATTGGGATTATTTTTCATTCGGTGATAATTGGGGTTACTATGGGTATGTCACAAAATAAGTGTACTATAAGACCACTTGTTACTGCTCTTGCTTTTCATCAGATTTTTGAAGGGATGGGTCTTGGTGGCTGCATTGCTCAGGTAAATTACTCTTAATTATTTCGTCAATCTAACCTCTGATACGGATGGCACTCATTAATTAATTAACTTGTGGGTTTTGTAATTCGTGAAGTTTAATGGTATGCCGTGTTTTAGTTTATTACCTTCCTATTCCTTATTGCGATAAGAAAAGGTCTGTGTTCGTGGGCTTGAAGTGGGGTGATTTGTAAGTGGGCTCTTACATGTCTTTCTTTCTGTAACCGACTGTCTTTCATTTCTTCAACCACCTTTTCCTTTTCCTTCGACGACTGCGAGCTTCTAGTTTACACATTTAATGGAAGCATGGTGATCATAGAATATGTAGCCAGTAAGTAAATCATGAGGGACTGGGTGTACTTACTTAGTTTATAGAATTTTACATGGCAGTCGGTGCGAGAATTAAAGAGTCATTCCTCATTAACAATGGACAATAAAGTGGAAATGCCACCATAAATTTAGTTTAGTTTTATCTACTTTCTTCATTGCTATTGATTTTATTTAGAAGAAAGTTGTCGTCAGAACATGCCTAAATAAATTGGGTACACCTTTTTTTGGGAGTTTCATTTTTGCTTTGAATCTGATTGTTGAAGTAATGGTGACAAATTGCAGGCAGGGTTTAGCTTTGGAACAGTGGCCTACATGTGTTTTATGTTTGCAGTGACTACGCCGATGGGGATAGTGTTAGGGATGATCATATTTTCAATGACTGGTTATGACGACAGTAACCCCAATGCCTTGATTATGGAAGGATTACTGGGGTCATTATCTTCAGGTATACTTGTATACATGGGTCTTGTTGATCTGATAGCTGCTGATTTTTTCCATAACAAGCTGATGAGTTCTGCTCCATCGTTGAAGAAGGCATCGTATATCGCACTAGCTCTTGGCTCTACTTCAATGTCAATCCTTGCTCTTTGGGCTTAAAAATTCTTTTTGTGCTTTTGTTTATAAAGGCCAGACATTAGAGTTATGGTAAGGGAGTATGTACGTAGTTCAAAAACATTCAAATCGTTTTCAACGAGAGAGATTCATGCCTGCTGTATAATTTCGCTAGCATGTAACTATGAAGGTGTATAATTCTGAAAATGTGGTGTCCTGTGGCCATGTGGTATCAAAAAATGGAGCTGGGCTAGTTACTTGACATTTTCTTTCATGTGTCGTTGATTTAGCCAGAGAATGCTATGGCGTACACCTTTCTACACCGTAGTGTCCTTCTATGCCAAACAAGTGGAGGAGTGCTACTAATTAAAGAACTGCAAAGATCATTAAATTTCCTGATGTTCCAGTACTAATTCTTATCACTAATTGATCAATTAAATCACCATCTACACCGGCTGCGTCCAAAATTTACTTGGACGGTATAAGAACAACCGAACCACTTTCAACCCTTCCATCCATGCACCTCTTGGCTACTCCTATGGCTTCTGCTTGTTCTGTACCGATTTCGTATGTCTCATGTCCGCATAATCAAGCAGAAAAGGAAGCGTTACTGCTCGGTAGTGATGATATTGGGCATTTCCTTTATGGGCCCTGTAACATTCCTGGTTAATTTGTTTCAGTTCGTTCCTCCGCTGAGCAAATGGCCTAATGATTGGGACAAAAAATGCTGAGTTCAGACATGACGAATACTGTCAGATACCCCCTATTAAATTTAAACACCTTGGATCGTTTTCTTTTTACTCATGGAATGGTGTGCTGTTTTTTTTTTCTTAAAAAAAAAATCTCAGTGCTAGTCGTGACTGGAAGCTCGCAAAAATGACTCCGTGTTCCACTATAAGTCTATATCAAAGCTACGTGCCGACAGATGGTTGGAAAACGAGGGCCTACGGGTATGCCTTTTCTTTTTCTTTTTCTTTTCCCTCTCTAGAGAAATATGGATTTGTTTTGTTGAGCATTCGCCACTCTTCCTTTCTTTCATATTATCAGGCCATAAGAACCCTACGATGAACCTAGTCTACGCTCACCAAGAGCGTGATTGGTCCGTCAGCTTTCCTCAACCTTCGGCCAGTGGACCACGAATTGATCATGTAAGGGAGAAATAGGACAAAATAACTAGAGTTGAAAACTGAATAGAGCTTCAAACAAGTTTGGACCCTTTATGTTTGTTGATATATTTTAGATGGACACCTTATTTGGGAATCGGTCCCGTAGCTCAGTTGGTTAGAGCGTTGGTCTTATGAGCCGAAGGTCGCGGGTTCGAGCCCCGCCGGGACCATCCCGACTACCAAAGACTTTACCTTGAGGTTAGCATTTTTTCAATCTGTTTATCCTGTTTTGGATGCCAATGGCAACTCGTCGATTGGAAGACAAACGAAGAGAGCCCATTTCCTAAAAATAATTGTATTTTTTCAGCCGATGCCTGACAAGATTTGGGCCCATCTTATAACATGACTTCTCTGATCATTACGATCTCAAGCCCATATCGAAATCTGGGCCACAAGTAAATTCCTTGTATTTGTTATATCTAATGTTGGGCCAGAATAAAAAATTGATATTTTTTAGATCCTTAAATCCAATGCTAGACAGAACTACATGCAATATTGGACAAAAACATCAGTAACACAAAATATGAAATATAAATTACCTAATATGAAAACTTCTGTACCTGATGCGTTTTGTTGAGATGGACCTCCACCTTCATGTTCTTACCTAATATGAAGTATTTTCTTTCCTTCTTTACCCTTTTCTCTTTTAGTTGTTAAATCCATGTTTGGAGTATGTGGATTCGAAGTTTGTTCATATCATGTTCTTAATTATCAAAATCATTTCTGGTGCTTCGTAGAGCCTTAAGTGATGAGATGGAAGTTGAAATCATATTAGGAAAATTTATGTTACTTTGTTTTTTTGTGTTTATGAATGCCCGGGTCAATAACGTCCATCCAAACTTTTTTTCTGCACAAGGAGAAAGTGAGTTACTTAAACAGTGTTGACGACATCAACCTCTTGCTTTAAGCTGTAACATTAGTGTTTACATAACTAAGTTCTTGCATGTGAAAAATGATTTTTTAAATTTTTTATGTGTTTATTTATCATTAGAAAAATTAATTAATGAAAAATATTTTCTAATTAAAAAAAATCTAGCATGGTTTCTAATTTTCTTATTTATTTTAAACAGAAAATATTTTTTAAAAATAATAAAAAATACCTAGATTTTCTTAATTAGTTTATTCTTTGTTCAGTTTCTTTTGAACTCTAAGCTTTATGGTTAGCTTCTTAATGTTGTTTGTTGCGTTCTAATGGTTGATTTTTCTTTTTATAAGAATGATGTAAGTGTTAGTTTCATTGTTACTATTACAAAACAAGATCTTCCCCCTATTCAACTCCCCTCTCTTCCTTTTTTTTCTTTTTTCCTTGGGTTTCCTTTTGGCTTAAGGTAGATGGATTTTTCATCCTTTTGTTTTAATGCTGGATTGAAATTTCTTAATTTTTTCCCTATTAATTGTTGTTTTGTTTGTTTATTGTTGTTGTTGTCTCTTCATAATCTTTTTTTTTTTCTATGTTAATAATGTCACATATAAAGCACTGTCTACTTTCTAAATATCATGGGAATCTCTAAAAAAAATTAGTGAATCGAGGGACAAAAAAAAAGAGAAAAAAAAAAAGGCACAAAGCCTGTTTTTTCTTCCTGCTCCTTCCTAGGAGCAATGACTGTTTGTTTTTTTCTTCTATTTATTTTCTTTTTATTTGTGTTACGTTATATAGAAATATACATTCCCAAACATATTATATAATAAAAGCTAAATGATATTAAGAAACCACCATGAATCAAAAGAGCTTTTATTATAAATTATAATTGTCATAACCTAATTTTATGTTGTTCTCTAATTTTTTTTAAAATAAATAAATAAATAAAATAAAATAAAAACTGACGACGTGGAAAAAACAGATAGGAGAGGATTCTAAAAACTACTTAAAAACCAAGCTGCAATTTTAAAGTAAATTCAAGGTTTAATTGTACCTTATTATGCTAAAAAAATATTAAAAAATACAAATTTAAGGTTAAATTAAATGATTATTGAATGAATTTGCATAAAAATTAAGTTTAAGAATATAATTAAATTTTTAATAGATCAATTTGATTCAATCATGGATCAAATTAAATTTTAATTATATTTAAAGATTATTTTGGGTCTAATTAAAAGATTTAATTAAGTACAAGGAGCTAATTATAATTTAAATAGATGAAATTAATTTTATTTCTTAATTAATTTTAAATAAGATTTAATTAAATACAAGTAGCTAATTAACAGTGCAATACAGAGAACATAGTTTTTTTTCTTGATATCGAGTGTGTTTGGCAATGTGGTAGTGATTGCTTTTTAAATAACTTTTTGTGCCGAAATATATGTCAATGATATTTTTTTATTTTTTAAAAATTATTTTTAATATCAGCATATCAAAACGATCCAAAACATAAAAACCATATTAAATTTTAATAAAAATAAAAAAATAATTTTTTTTTTAATTTTTTAAAAACGCATGTTGAAGCGCGTTATCAAACACTGCCGAGAGAGGACAAAAATAAAGTTTGAGACAGAAAAGGAAAAATAATGATGGCTGACGAGATTGTTGGAAAAAATGGGCAATATCTCCCCCTTCCAGTCCTCCCAGTCCTCCCAAATCTGTTTGCATTTTGATAGCTCTTTGTTTTATATTTTATTTCTCTTCTTCTCTTTATGGTTTCCCCACTTCCCTTCACCCATTCTCCTTACTTGACCTCTCATTTTATGATTGATATTGATTGCGCTTAAATATTTGCTAGATATTGATTGACCTCATACATTCATGATAATGATACATCTACTGTTAGGTCTTAAAGGTGATGCCAGTGGTTGTTTTTGTATGATTCTGTGAGCCTCATATCGTGCTTCCATAAATTCTCTCATTGCTCTTTTACACCGAGTCACATCTACTCTCTTTTCTCGCCCGCCACTAGCCTGCTCTTTTATATTTAGTTACATCTTCTAGCAGTATTTTACCATGTTTGAGTTGAAATCTTATGTGCAAGCTGCTGGAGCTTGATTTCTTCGTGGTGCTCACATGGTTGTTCCTGTTTTTACCTTGGATTCTATAGCTATGCCAACTTCTTCTTCTTCTTCTTTTTAAACATGAATTTCCTTGGCGAATCTATCACCATTCAATACTTCTAACTTAGATCTTATTAATAATTTATAATTTGTAATTGTTGTGCTGTATATTGTTTGTTTTCCCTCTAGATTGGTTTAGATAAATGTGTTTAGTACTGACCTGGTTAAAATATGAAGTAAAACAATGGAAAAAACAAGTGAATTAGTTTGATCTACCCACTTTGATCATATATTATTGTCTGGTCATTAGTGCTTACAATGAAAGGCGAACAGATTTTGAAGAAAGCGTATTTATCAAGTGCAGATGCAGTAGAAGTGTGCGTCTGTTACAAGTTCCAACACCATGGGATCCAATATCTATATATTTGCATCTGTTTTTTTTATAAAAAAAAAAATGAATTTTTTTAATGTATTAATCAAGAATAAATTCTAAAAAACATTCTGAAAAACAAATTCTTCCATTGTCTTGAACACTTTCTTCAAATATATTTGTTCTTCAAGCTCTTTTGAAAATTCTTTTGCTTCAAAATATTTTTTTTATGATTTTAAATTCTTTTAATATGCTAATATCAAAAATATATTTAAAAAAATAAAAAAAATATTTTTTTAATATATTTTCAAACAAAAAATACTTTAAAAATAACCATGATAACAATTCTATTTTTAGTGAACCCAAATGCAATTTTATTAAATTTATTTTTTCATGCAACACGTCCAGCCGGGTTAAATAATTAAAGGATAACTCTATCTTGTAATTTAAAAAACATAGAAATAAAATGAGTGTCGCACTGTTTTCTGATTGTATTATAATAATAACAATAATGTTCCACTCCAAAATTGAAATCTATGGTTGAAGGTTTGTAGTTATGCTACATAATAAATTAGTTTGTAGCTCAAATAATAACAATATTCATTTCTTTTAAAAGATTTGGAATTTTGAATCTATTTTTTGTATAAAAAAGGGAAGAAATAAAATAAAAGGCGATGCCGAACGCATGTTTTGTCTCAAGAATAAAATTATTTCTCTTTATAGTTTGTTTGATACAATTTATGGAAAGGAATAGAGTCATAATTTAAAAATTATTTTTTTACAAATAATACCAAAAAAATGAAAGAATGTCATTTTTTGTTCTATCCATGAATAAAATGTAAAGATAAGTAAGTAAACTATTCAAATTTTTATACCTAATACCCCATAAATAGATGTAATTGTATAAGAATTAAAAAAAAAATAAGGATGAAAATTAATTAAAAAAATCAAATTAAATCAAATTTTAAAATATAAAATATCTTTTAATAAATTATTCTCCGGTTAAAAATATCTTTTAATTTGTGATCTCTAGTTGTATTTTCCAATCTGAACGAGGGAAAAACGCGATAGAAAGATGACGAGATTTCTTGCCTGTATAAGGGCTTGTTTGCAAAATTGTTGTATCTGAGGACCCGAATGAACTTGTTCATTCGAGTGTAGTGAATTTGCAGGAGGAGACTGCGTGTTATTGCACCATTTCTATTAGAAGATTCATTAATGGTGCTGCGGCTCAAGGGATAAGGATATGAAAAAAGGGTGAGATTTGAAGTTAGAGATCGATCCATCAGGGATATTAACGAAATTGACGGATAGCCTGGATTTCCTTGGGATGCAATGCTAAGCTGCTGCTATAGCATAGGCTGCTCCAAAGTCTGAAATGGAAGGAAAAATACTTGTTGAAAATTGAAATTGTCTACACAATATCAGAAGGCTCGTATAATTCTTTTACTTTCTTTCTTCGTTTTTTTCCCTGCTATCGATGACGACAGATTATATATCCAATGTCTCTTAGTTAAACAACAAATTGAGCTGAGGTCTGAAATCTGGATGAGACAAATTGAAGCCAGAAGCTCTAATCAACGGAAAGCGTACACATCTCTGGTTTCTTGCGTTAGCCTTGACCTCTTGGATTTGTGAGCTAAACACCAACCAACTAGGGAGGCCTAGCTTGTACATCGCTCATATGTAGCCATTTGTTTAATGCAAGACTCCAAAACAGCAAGCAGAAACCATGGAAGACTTTACGAGAGAATTTGTCCTCTCTTACCTCTCCATATAGGCCCACCTCTTAATTGGTGATGGAAATAAGACCCACCTTTTCATTTACTCATCAGACATAATACGGATTTAGCCCCATGCATCAATTATGTGTCAGGGATACAGCCATGCTCCACACACAACTCCATAACCAGCTACAGCTCAGTCAAGATTCTTCCCTTGCGATGCCTTGTGCTAAGCATATGACTTTCAGATCATGGACAGATATGGTGCACGCCAGTTCTTTGATCAAACTACTGTTTCTTCAGCTAACAATGAGTGTGACCAATTTTAGAACTAACCCGTAAAAGGCCAAGATTATTGAGCTGTGTTTTCTTTACCTAGTGCAAGATTCAAGAGATGTTTAAGAAAGAGAATCAAGTGACAATCGATCAAATAGTTCAAGATTACATGACCCGACGAGTAATGGCAATCGAGATGAAAAAAAAAATTATATGATATATATCAACTTACAAAAGATCTATACAATGTGGAATGCAAATATTCTGCGTGAACATAGACAATCTCTCAAGCATCCAGCGCAGTCGCATTAATTGATGGGAATACCTTGCTTTCTGATCTATTCCTACACATTCTCTTCAAAGAAGAACTCAAAGACAAAGAAGTAGATGGTGATTCTGATAAACAATCACGATCTACCACAACATTTCCATTCTCATTCTCAGAATTTGAAAAATCAGTGACAATTTCCAATCTAGAAGCCCCACCGTCACTCAAGCCCCTCTCATCTGTTGACTCCCTACTCACCTCCGTGGACTTGAGATCATCAATAGCAATGTCATTGTCATCACCCACAGCAGGAGCTCTACAAACAGGACAATTAGAGTGAGAATTCAGCCACATATCAATACACTCAACATGAAACCCATGACCACACTTTATCAAGCTCTTGCCAACCTCATTTTCCTCAAAGGGACTTAAGCAAATGACACACTCTAAGCCTTGTTTACACTCTTCTGCTTTGTAAACAAACAATGGAATTGAAGAAATGACTGATCCATCAAGACCCTTTGAAGGGGAAGTAGAGAAAGTAGTGTCAACAGTGAAATTATGGAAATGGTGGAATCTTGAAGCACGCAGAACGTGAGACACAGACACAGAACTTGATCTTCTTCTATGGCGAGCTTGTGCCAAGAACCACTTGGCATAGATGTGGAGAAGCAACACAAAGAGGATTACTAAAAGAAGGGATATAACTGCAGCAAGCATTATGTTGCTGTCATACGAAGATATGTTGTTGATGAGATGACTCATTGGATTGTGCTCTGGTGATTCGATAGCACTCGGCATTGCTTTGTTTTTTGGGGTTTAAAGAGAGAGATGTCTGTAGAAGAGAAAAGGTTGAGGATATATATTTATTACACATGAACAGAACAGTATAGGATGATCTTTTTTGTAGACAACTAGGTACCAATGGAATCTGCTACCACCACCACTTCAATATGGGGATTAAATATATAAAGAAGACATCAACGTGAAAATGAAGTCGTTGATTGAGGATTAGATTACGGGCAATGTGTTCTGGAACACTTGCGTGTATTAGTTAGCAATAAAACAAGAGCGTGTCTAATGTCTATAGTGTACTTAGAAGTCAAAAAGAATCCCTCTATCCAAGGAGCTAATGGGAGTCATGCATAGGAAAGAAGAGAAGAAAGTCGAAATGGAGGACTCGTGAAGGCGACGGCAGAAGAGGTTGGGGTTATTGGCTTCATGTGGCTATTTTAATTGTTTAATAGGGAGGCAGGGATCCCAAGATGAAAAAAGAGATCTAATATCTCTACTATGCCATCCTTTTCATGTCTTTCTTGTTGACTTGGTAGGGGCCTAACTGGTCTTGGGCATCAAATTTTGTGTTCGGGGGTCCCACCGCTGCTTCACCACTACCAGTCAGCACCTCCCTTTTCTCTGCATGTTTCCGGGCTAGATATCAATTTCAGCGTTGGGTAGAGGCTCGTGACGCCTGACCTGTCTCGGAGGCAATGGCCAATTACCTGTGACAAGCTAAGGCTCCTACTCATAGTTTGACTATTAACATCAGATCCAAAAGTCAGCAACTCGACATCCTGCAACGGCACTCAACCAACGGCCAGAAATCCAGCGATGATTTAGAACTAAAACGGCGTTCGCAGGGACGCAGAGCAGCCAACCTGTTGCGAACCATTTGCAAGGAAGTGCTGCGCCCATTGGCATGTATGACTGAGGGGCAGTGCTTTCACAATAATCTTGGATTAGGGTGTAAGGAATTTAAAAAATAATCGGATTCGTCCTCGAAATACGCTTAATTTGGACAGTGAAATATTTAGAAAGCGGATCACTAGAATGTGCTCAAGTGTTTTGCACCTAAAACAGTCGAGTTCCAGAATAACAAAACCAATGCAGCTCAAACTTTGTTGTAAGCATTGAAATTTGAAAGGAAGGCCATTATTGATTACGCAATAAGAATTTTATCGTCCGAGTGGTGATTATTCTAGATACACTCGTTGTGTTTATGCTTATGATGCGTCTCGTCAATGAATGGAGAGCACGTGAAAGTAAAAATGCATTGAGTTAGTGTAAAAAGTCCCAAAAACTTTCTTCAGGCATTTCAGTCCATGAGCTTGTATCTTTTTTCCTGGACTCCAGTAACTCCCATTTGTATCTCTATTATTGTATGAAGCGGCACCTGAAAGTCGAATACAAGCAACCTGTTAGAATGCGTAAACAATTCGTTCTAGAAGCCCGCAAATCACTTTACAAGCATCAGGCCAGCCTTCTAATAACAGGGCATCACTCGATGTGCCAGGAAGAATAATTAATCCCCTGATTCATATAAACATGTTCATCCTAAGCTACTTACCATCAATTTCATTACAAAAAAAAAAAAAAAGTACGAGTTCTGAATTATTAGGAATTACCTCGATATGTGGAATTTCTTTTAAAGGCCTATCAGCAAAATATGCATATAATGCTCTCAATACAGCCTGCACAAATAAAGCAATAAGAGATTAGCTTGATAACCCAAAGCATCGGGATATTCAAGATCGCATGTTTAATGTATAACCTGGTGAGAAATGACTACAACGGGTGCCCGTTGTCTTTCCAGTTCAATAATTACAGGCTCTAGCCTGCATTAATGTGGAAATTAGTTTTTACTAGACAAGGAATATGAAGTATCAAAGGTTCTAGTTAAAGCTGCAAAATGCAAACCTTTGGATGACATCAAGATAAGATTCTCCACGAGGGTATCGATACCTCAGCTTGTCCTTCTTGCGTGCCCTGCTCAAAGGGATACAAGCATCAGGCCTCAGGGAAGCAACTAATAATGTCCGAGCGCATGAGAAAAATACAAACGTGTTGTTTTAAGACAACTTCAACTGATCACCATAGGAGTTTACTAGAAGAAAACAAATTATTAAGGTGAGAATGTAAAGCAATGGGAGGGAGGGGACAGAGAAAGAGACAGTATGAGAAGAAACATACTCATATTCCTCAGGCATGTTCTTCTTGATCTCTTCGTATGTCATTCCATCACATACTCCAGCATTTATCTCATCAAGGGCACGCCATTGGATCTATCAAAATGACAAATTGTGAACTTTTCTACAATGAATTCCAATGTCTATCAACTACCCAACAAAATCAGCCAAAGTAAATCACAATTCTGAATGACCAACTAGTGTTCTGAGGGGGTTCACACTGACCTTGGGAAATCCAGGGATAGGACTTGCTGTTATAATTGTTCTCTGAAGTGTGCTGGTCCAAATCTAGACCACAGCAAAATCAGAACAATGGTCATAAGAATTCATATGGCTCATTCTAAACACACTCTACTTGACAGAATTTCCATGGAATAAATTAAATAATTAAAAGTGAAATCAGTTTTCCAACTTCCCAAAGCTAAAAAGAGAAGAAGAAAAAGGACTAAATTGTAAAGAAACTGTAGCAAGTTGCAGAGAGTCACAACTAGAATGATAAAAACAGCAGGCAATCATGATAAGTTGAACTTGGACTACAAACTAGAACCCTGGTGTGCTCATTGACACAAACATCAAAGCATTAAGAAAAGAAAAGACCAAACTTGAACTGATATTCAAAGGGATAAACAAATTAATCATCGTTCCTACTTCCCAAATAAAAGAAAAGAAAAGGGAAAGGAAGATAGAAGAAGAAGAGCTAAATTGTGAAGAAACTGTAATGAGTTGCAAGTTGCATGATAAAAATAATAGGTGATGTAGAACAATTATCCCAAGAATTTAATTTTCAGTTGACAAGGTCAAGCCTAAAAAGAAGTCCACAAAGAAATCTGAAAACATTTGATATAAAGCCTGAATTTAATTATTTTCCTAGTGAATTTTGAAGTTTAATTATTTGTTTCCTGCTTAACTTAGAAATTTTAATTTAATTAGTATTTTACTTTTAGGAATCTTAATGCTAAATAGATTCTATTAATTAAGTTTTAATTAGAAATCAGTTTCTATAAAAGATTTTAGAACTAATATAATTAGGGATGTCTAGTTTATTTAATGGAGATCAATATTATTATTTAGACTTGTTAAAGAACCAACTCAATCCAAATTTATATTATTCTCTAACACACCCCTTCAAGCAAAAGCTCTTTGAACTTAAAACTTGCACAGACTCACATTACCTTATGCTTAATTTTTATCAAACAAATGGGAATGGTGATATTCGAACTTGAGACCACTTGGTCATCAAGGCTCTAATACCATATCAAAGAACCAACTCAACCCAATAGTTTAAGTTGTTAGGTGAGGTCCCAAGATATAATTTATATTATTATCTAATAAGACTCGATAAAAGTACCAGAGAATTTTCTATAGATTTCTCTTCATTTATAATCTGTAACCCTAGAGCTTGAAAACTCTAATTTTATCTTAATATACATTGTGTCATGTGGTATTAGCGCGAGTCAACATCTAAATCAATGGCGAATCGTGAAGAGAATTATGGAGTGACAACCATTTCTGTGAAGGTGATTAGGGGGTGTAGGCTATTTAGGATCAACTAGATCGCCATTTAGTAGTGATAACAGCCTTAGAGGGGCAAATGCAAACTAGATTTAGCGACATCAATACCATAGTTTATGACCTTACAACCAGGCTTGAAGCACTAAGGTTGCGTGCAAGCATGAACTAAGAAAGAAGGGAGGCACACAATGGGGATGACATCCGCAGCCAACCTGTCATTGAACCAGTTCATGCAAATCCCCGTGGTTGGTATGACCATGAGTATTCATTTGATAAGAAATATCTATTTTGGTTGATAGAAGGCACAAACGAGAATTGCAAAGAGAAAAAGAACATGTTTAAAGACTTATCTCGAGGCCGACTTGACCTTAGACTTGTTCCTTAAATTCCATCTATATAACCACTTTTTTATATATAACCACTTGTTTATATGAAGGGTGTTGATGAAGATGAACTTGATGGAAGTCATGGGACCTTATCAGATCAAAACAAACAACCACAACCTGAGAGACATAAATCGATCAACATGATTGAATGTCAAAACAAGCGAGAACCTTTCAATGATGAGGATGTTCTATACAAACCTGATGGAGATTATGAAGAAGATTTATATGATGATGAAGATCTTGCAAACAATGACATGGAGGACTCGGTAATTTTTGACAAATCTCTAGAGATATCATGGAAGATTATTTTGGTGTTCCTTTAAATACAACAATTGAAGTATTGAAGGACATAAATAATGATGAACTCGAGTTTAAACAAAAAAATATGAGTGAACCAAAAGAGGACTTCATAGGAACAAAAGTTATATCATATATAGATTTTTTATTGTTATTATACATGCACAATAAATTAATTTTTTATGTTTGTTATAGGTTGTAAATAACACATAATTAGGAAGTAATGTAGAGCCTAATTGTAGGGATTCTAATTAGTCTACTTTCCTATATAAGTTTCATATCTTGTATATAAGGGATAGATTGATCAATGTAAAAGTAAGAGAGAATATTTGTTTTCTTCTTCTATGTTTTCAATGTTCACAGGTTAAGGACATGTTACTTCATGAATAAGCTAGCTACAATATTATATTTCAAGTATTTGTTTCTTTGGGGCAAAAGAATTCAATTTTTGACAAATAACTCAAGGACGAGTTTGTCTCAAGTAGCAAGTTTGTCTCAAGTAGCAGAGACTAACATAGAACAATTATCTCAAGAGTTTATGGACTAGATCGACAAGGTTAAACTTGAAAAGAAGTCTGCAAAGAAACCTGAAAGCATCTCATATGAAGTTTGAAGTTATTGTTTTCTTGATTTAATTATTTTCCTAGTTAATTTTGAATTTTAATTATTTGTTTCCTACTTAACTTAAAACTTTTAATGTAATTAGTATTTTACTATTTAAGAATTCTAATACTAGGTGGATTATATTAATTAGGTAAGTTTTAATTAGAAATCATTTCCTATAAAGGATTTTTAATACTAATATAAATAGGGATGTCTAGCTTGTTTTATAAAGAAGAAGACTATTATTTAGATTCAATAAAAATACCAAAGAATTTTCTCTAGATTTCTCTATAGTTTGGTCTATAACCTTAGAACTTCGGAACCA